TAGCTGTTGCTTTTAAATTCACCAAGAATAAACATTAGCTTGTATACTTAGATCGAGAACTTTATTCAAACTTTCGTTGTTGGCCTATGTAGATTAGAGGTTGGCGTCAGGTGATACGCTCTAGGCGTTTTACGGATGGGCTGTGTCTAACGTTGTTTCATTGTGATCGTCCGTACGCGATAAGTTTACAAAAGGGGCCCTGCTATTCATGCGCGATCGAAGGTATCTCGCCGTAATGGGCGCCTGACGAGGCAGTTAGCCGCGAGATTGAAACGTGCGCGAATTCCGCCTTCATGCGGACGGAGGAACGTCCATATCTGCGGTTACACAACGTACACCGCTGCGGTCGTTCCTTCTCATAGATTGCACAATGCACTCGGCGACGATGCGTGTGCATCGGAGTTCACGTGCCGCCGGTGAAGCCCCAGCGCGCTATGATCAGGCCAGCGTAATAACGAGAAAGCATAAATTGACAATTTGTCCCGGCGTATTGGTTTCCCTGGCCACGAGCCGCGTCCGACGCAATAATTGGTATACGCTGTCAAGTGCTACTCCGCCAACGATAGCAAACCCCCCGCAGTATACGGCCAACCTGCGCTCGCACATCACCCGTTATCTCTCCCCTTGACGGCGCTGCCTCGACCCACCGGTGTCGAAATTTGACGAAGATGCTTGTGGCGCAGTGGAGAATAAACGAATTGAATTGAGGAATTCGATGCAAAGTAAAAGCGGTACCGGTATATAAGAATCGCGTGCGTTTTCATAATAGAAAAAGTCTCGATTATATACAGAATTTACGGTGTACAGACGTATAAGTTTGCCGAGATATTTTTGTCAACTTCAGAAAAAATAGTATATCTCCCCTGAATTTCTTTCCTCAAATCGTTCTGGTAGACCTGCCTAAAGCAACAGTCACGCAAGTGAACAATTGCTAATGGAGGGGAAAAAGAAGTCCATGTCTCAAATCGATTAGACATTCGATTAAACGCCCCTGCCGAGGATTGTGTTTATATATATATTATCTCCTAAGAAAGGGCGCGATACGCTCGATTCGCCAGCAACGACCCCCAACGGAGAAATAGTCATAAACCTTCCGGCGGAAATTCAAACGCGACCTGGCTTTCCGAACAATTTACCTTGCGATGCGATCTCTGCATTTGATTCACGAGCTGACGATGGTGCCGCGGGTGCATCGGATGCACGCGGCTGCAGACGATACGGAAGACTGGAGCGGATGCCGCCACGTTTTTGCACCCCGGGGCTACAAGAACAGGATTACAAAGATTCTTTGTACGCGACGGTGGATGGGGCGGAAAGGGAATGGCAAAAGCGGAGGGAGGGGGAGGGGCGGAGGTGGAGGTGGAAAGGACGAAAAGGACGATGCGCGCGGGAGTCGGAAAGGGTAGAGAATAAAGTAAACGGCACCTATCCCCGGAAAACGACGAGACAACAAAGAGGAACGATGCTCGTTTCTCGCCGGCCTGGCTCGAAATGAATCCTATATTCCGGGCATGTGATCTCGAAATGCGCTTTATGTAGAAACTATTAAAGCTGATCGTACATATAAAAGCTAAAGCGAAATATTTTGCAAACGTCAGGAGGCAATGGCGAATGGATGAGCGCATAAAGCGAACGAGTTACCTTTGGCGCCGGAGAATCGATGCTGGCAACAAGCTTGTAACGAACGTATATATACATATATGTGTGTGTGTAATGCCGTAACGTACTCTCGTTAATCACATCACGTGCTATCTGACTTTTAATAATTCTCGAGGCAAGAGACAGCTTCTCCTCTCTAAAGTGCACGTTTCGACGTTTGTGTTATAAACGGATCTCCTCGCCGTTGCTGCAGTATCAGGATAACGTAATTTGTGTGAGAAATTATTCAATACGATTCAAACATTTAAACAATGCTTAGAACCACGTCAATCAAAATGCTACGAGTCAATTAGCCCAATTGATCGCGCGTTCTATGAAACTATTTGCAAATTATTTGCAGAGCGCTAATTAGATGCTAATTACCTCATGTAACTAATTGAAGCTGGTAAAGGTCGGCCTTTACTTGACGACCGCGACGAGAAAATCGTTGTGGAGCGAGGGAAGAAAAAACCCGATAAGACTCCCGCGGTTCGTGTCATTCCTCAAAAAGTCTACGTCGATAAAAAAGCCGTGTATGCTCGACATTATTAGCTTAACAATTTGCGTGCCACAATTACGACTTGCCTCGGACTTCCCTCCCGTTCTAGCCGGCCTCGAACTTCTGCGATGTTTTGTCGTCGTTTGACGGTAGATTCGCATCAAGTTGCGCTAATCTAAAGAAAGGGAGAAGAAAGAGAAAGAGAAAGAGAGAGAGGCACAGGGTATAATAGTATAAGTCCCTTATAGGGTAGTTCTACGGTTTGGACGCGAGGCAGGCGACCAACAGAAAAACACGCAGACCACGCGAGGCTCGCATTTTTCAAAGGAAACCTCTCGGAGTCGACAAAAAAGATTCACTCCTCCGACTTAAGATCGGATAAAATCGCACGGTGGCGCGCGCGTTTGTATCAGAACTGACGTTTGTCAAATAAAATCAGCGTCAGAAATTCACCTCAACTCATTTCATTTCTTATCGGATTGTAGACGGTCATGGAACTGTCACTGTCTCTTTGGTCTGACGGATTCATCGACTAAGTTTAATGTCAATTTTTTTTCTCGCAGTACAATGTCAGGAAAACTTGTCATAACTTTTTATAAAAGATAGATACTTCTTGGAATCACATCACAATTATTTTACATTACTGTACTCAGTAATCTTCTCTAAAAAAAAAAAAAAATAATAAAAAAACAATTCAAGTTTATTTGACTGTTCGTTTGACTAATATTTGACTTGTACTACTGAAGCGCTTAATTTCATGCGGTACGACGTATCCCATCGCATTTATCAAAAATTTAAACCAGGACGGTATAAAAGGTCCATTGTGGTGAGCATGCGTTTAAACAAAAACAATAATTTAAAAATTTAAATGTCATGAATTCGCGAAACATCTCTTCTAGGTATTTCAAGACTGCGATAAGCGCTTGTCACACAGCAGAGGAGTCCATAAATTACAAATGCAAAATGTCCTCTGCGGTTGCAACTGCGAGTCGTTCGCATAATGCGCGGCACAATGTAGGCGAAATGGCGTCCCATGTATTAAAATAACGTCATTTCATGCGCGCCGCCATCGAGCGCGCGAAAGAAAAAGCATGGTTGGTAGATGATGCTAAAAAGCTTTTGTCCAGTGCACTAACGGAAACATCGTGAGATGGCTTCTAGAAACTACGGTCTACATTTTTCAGCGAAATTCTAGCGAGAATGTCTGATATAGTCTTCTAAAGTTACAACTGCTTGCATTAGAAATACGATAGCCGACGAGCAATTTACAACTTTCTTTTAAGAAAATTTTTAATTAACCAGAAATCAATTTTCCCCTTTAGTGAAAATATAAAAATACTTAAATAGTAAAAATATTTATTAATCTAATACAATATTAATATCCTAGTACAAAAATATAATGCTTGTTAATCTAATACTAGATATCTTGATAAAGTATAAACGAAATGAGATCTCCATTTGAAATTCAACGGAAACTTGCTATCAACTTATCTTTCCCGGAACCTTAAAAGCTCTTTCATACATTTACATTAATTGCTTTCACGATCAGATCTTTTCGTAAATTTCTGCTAAAGATAATTTGATATTCTCATTCATTCTAATATTCACCCTTAGCGATATACCTTCCATAAAACAGCATCCCTCCATAACTCGGACCGTTTCGTGAAAATATTGCAAGACTTCGTCCCTTTTTGGAGGTCAGCAAGCAAAATGCGTCCTCGTGAGCGGCTCGCGTGCTGGCCACGAAGTTCCCGAAGCTGCTGAAGGTAAACGAGGAACGATTACGGGAAGCGAGCCCTTCTCTTCCCGATACCCTGGCGAAACGAATCGGCGGTCCCACCCGGCCGAGAGAGGCCCTTGAGCATCATCGTAGCTTTTAATTAAGCTTTACTTGCCGGTGCAAACTTTGTTGTTGGACGCCGGACCGTAGACTCCTCGGGGACGGGACCGGGGTAATTCAGTCTGAACGAACGGACAGCAACGAGAAGTTTATATTGGTAGACGGCCGAGAGACGGGCCTCGAGTCTATTATTAGGTGCTGCCTCTGATGTGGACAACGGCGAGCTTGTGAGCGCACGACGCGTGAGTCCGATTTGCATCCGGCGAGCTCGAATGGTTCCCGAAGGATCACGATCTCATTATACCGTCAAACTGGGAATATCAAAATCCGAGTGCTACCATAACGTGAATCATTCTGCGCGCAAAAGTATTGTAGTCTTTCGATCAACAATCAGCGTGAAAACTGCTCTTTTACAAATATTATGGCATATATTTAGAAAAGATACTCCTTTTATACTTGTTTTGTATTATTTAGAAAGACTTGGAATATTTCTCAATGCTATCACTTTTGGTAAATCTTTTAGCGAAAAACAATCTTATAGAGATATGGTATTAGACGGCTGCTTCGCGTCAAGTTTTCAATTGTCACGATCGATTTCGAACATTTACATTTCCTATATAATTTCTAACCGGTGCGATTTCATTCACGCCACGCGATGCGGAGATCTCGCGGTCTCCGTGGCAACTGGCAACTTTGTATTTACATCGACCTCATGGGACAATGACTCTTAAAGTCCGGGGTGTCTCGCGTGTTGTTTTTGTGCAAAGTAAGCTACCGCCCAGTTGAGGATCAGCTGGTATTTTCTTTACGAACCCAGCAGAGCTTATCTCTTTACAAAGTGTTTTGGCGACTTCTCCACGTAATCCTGTGAAAATAATTACGCGCTTCAGTCAAATACGTTATAGCTAATTGCCGTCTCAAGTTTCAACATAAAATCGACTTCTACTTTACTCAATTTTTTAGAGTTACTTTGTGTTATAGTGTATACAGGCCTTTTGAATAAAAATAACTTTGTGATTTCAGATATTCTGACGGTAAAGTGGATTAATAAACGAAATGCCAAGGAATCATAAAATCACGGAGAACGTCGAGTGAGAAAAGAGAAAGAAAAAATTGAGTGCACGCCAACATACGACCGAGATAACGAATACTATATTCGAGCGTGTGGGAAACGAGCCACGAGATTTTTGAGATTTTTCGAGGAAACACCCAAGAGAGCCGTAAGCGCTGAGCAGTAAACGTTAATGATACTTCACATTAGATAGAATTCAAATATTGATAACTAATCGACGCTTTAAAACGACTAATAAATAAAAACAAATCTTTTTCTAGAGAAAAAAACATTTACTTTGCTCATGGGATCAATTAATCCTGCACGAAATTTTCTTTATAAATACCGAAAATATCAAATTTCTACAAAGTGGTCTCTCGATTCTCTTCAATTTCGTCGAGAGATCCAGCGTGTTCAAGATAATTCAAATTAGTAAATTTAAATCCGCTTTCACCGGTTTGCGTTTCCAAAATATTCAAGGTCGTAGATTTTGGCGAACAAGCTCGGGAGGCAACGGCCCATACGCCGGACGTCTGGCAAGTTTTTGCCATAAATACTGATTATTAAATAGCCATGCACAGTGACCGGACCGCAGTTGTTAGGGGAGACGCGCTACGGTCTCCAGGACCGGTTGGTAGCCTCCCTCGGATCGCGACATACACACACACAGGGTATACAGTGGACAAGCGTGCGCGTGGCGCGGGGAAGGCAAGGGAGTGGACATTGGGAAGGGTGAGTCGGAGGGCTGTGTTCCAGGATGGGTTTAATACAGGTACAACGCCAGTGCCGTAGGCTTTATGATGACGAAGAGCACCTGAGGGACCGGCGAGCCTGCAATTTCCTCGTTGCGCACAGACATCGCACCTGTACACCGCTCTGTATGCGCGTCCGACACACGCATAAACGTGCATGTATTAGAGGTAACGGCGTTGTGTGCGCGTTCCGACGCGCCACCGGTCACGGTTGCATGGGACCAATTTGTATCTGGACGCGGACTCGCGGTGATGCGTCTTCGATAATCTCTTTGGGAATTACCCCAAGTAGCCGAGGAACGTTCTCGCGTGTTTCCAGCGAGTATTCCGTGTGTGGTTCAGTAGCTCCACTCTCCGAGCGGAAAAGAAATACGTGCGATGCGAAACGAGATAATTAAAGGGTCGAAGTGACGCATAGTACTTGCTGTGCTTTAGAAAGGACTCCGCACGATTCTTATGAGAAAAACGTTTTCGGTCAATTTGTTTCAATTTGTGATATGTTGTAATTTACGTGTCCCTGAACGTTTTTCTTATAAGAATCGTGCGGAGTTCTTTGTATTTAAAAATCTTGTTTCTCCCAATTAAGATAAAGTAGAGCGTGTGCTGTGTATATCCACGTATCCATGAGATGCACATATGTGTAAGTTTAATTAATTAAAGAACTTGCTCGTTAATTCTCATTAAATAGAAATAAATACTAAATTGGAAAAGAAAATATGGATCATATGTAATACTTTGTTCAATAATTTATAGATCAGTTATTAGATTAGATTTCATCGTGGATAATATATATGTAATATATTAATCATTTCGTTTGTGATTATTGCCCCAACGAGTCGCCCGAATATCTTTCGTCAGATCGATTTCATTCTCACTGCTGTTACTTTGTATCACGCAGCGGATCGCGTTGAAATCACTATAACAAGCCCCGCGAAGTTGGTATACAACCCTACGAACGATAACATCGCTCGGTGGATCGGTGGGCGATAACGATAGCTGGTATTCCACCGGCTGTCGACGGTTAAAGAGGCCGTCGGAAGCGGCGAGTCTTGTTGGGAATCGCGAAGGCTGACCATCCCTTACGTACTCATTACTATCAGCCGCAAATAAGGATGCACATTAGAAGACAAGTCCGAAGGAGCGGAGAGAGGAAACGGTTGGGGAAAGAAATAGAGGAAGAAGAGAGGCGGAGAAACGGCCTCAACTTCCGGTCCGGTTCAAACGAGCCAGATCGTTAAACTGGAGAAAACTTTTAACCACCCCACCCCGCCTATCCAGTCGGCCGCTCTTTCCTATATTTATGCTTCGCCGAAAGTACGGTTGCGGTTCCTCCGGGATGTTCCACCGGCTCCCGTGGCTCTCCTGAGAGCGGACTTAACAAAATTATCGCGCGTATTTCGGCGGAAAGTTTCGTCGCTCGGAAAATAGCCCGGTCCTTTCGCGAATGTCCGAACGTACGCGAGCGTGCGCATATAACTCAGAAGCTTCGAAATTGCACACGTGTGAGATGTGCAGGTGATGCACGCGAGGGCTTCCTCAAATAATACGCTCGGATGCTTTTCTCTCCTGAAACAGGATCAACTCGGCTCCACGGATTTTGTGGCCGGAAGGATCTCCGATTTTGACTATACCATATTGACTAAGCGCGACGCCGGACTGCACGCGTCTCCTTCGAGCGTTTCCGTCGCTTGTGTATTTGCGCGGATACATTGCACTCCATAGACGCTGGCAAATCACATTTCGAAGCCTGTCAGAGGCGGGTAGGGAATTGAAGAGACGAATAAACAAGCAGAAGAGGGGCGGGAGACGACGGATGAAAAGCGGAGCATTACAAGATTTCCCGATCCTCTGCTCGGCGCGCGACTGTGTATATTTGCGTTTCGCAGGGGTGCTTCGCAGACGAAAACTGCATGTACCGAAAACGGACTGCTAGATGTATCGTAGGCAAGTAGAGAGATGTGAGCTTTAGATAAAGAAAAAAAGAAGAAGCGACATTGCGAAAGAAGAAGAGAAAGGGGCGATAGATGGAAGGAGATGAGCAGACGGAGGAGAAACCACCACTGTCGGCGCGAAAAAGCTGCTCGCTTGAGCGCAAATTTCTGGAAAACAGGGAAAAGTTGGTAATTAAAGCACGAGAAAGAAGGCAGAAAAAACGGAGAAAGACAAAAGATGAGAAAGGGAGCGAGACGGCGAGAGGATTGGCGAGGGCGACGAAAGTTGTCGGATAGGGTAGAAAGCAGACGGTGGAAGCTCGGCTGAAGAGAAACGGGAGGGAGAGGGGGGGACGACGAGTGGCCCAGGAAAATGCATGGAAATGTATTCCCAGGAGTGAGGACGTACCGGTAGCGAAACCGAAAGATGGAGAGAAACGCGCGCGCGGATAGGGGAGCCGGAGAGGACGCGATAGGGGTCGTGACTGGGACGCTGAAGATATTATAAGGGTTGAAAAGCCGACGCCGCGCACCATCACCGAGAAATTATGCTTGATTCTTCCGACCGGCCCCGCCTCCGCGATTGTCATTCTTCATTTTGCGCCGTAGCGACTCTCTTTCTCTCCGCGCCTCGGGTCGGGTCGTCCCCGTTCTTCGAGGGGTTTGCTTAGCTTAGACGCAGTGCTGCGTACGGAAGATGCGATGAAATGTTGAAAATGGAGATCAACGACGTTGCTAAAATTACATATCCGTCTTTTCTTCGAATTATGTTCTGTATAGTCGTCATAGGATATATTCTAATGTAACAAATCATTTTCCAGAATTTTTATATATTAAGTTACACTATTCAAGCTCGCAAAGTTTGCGTCAAGCTTAACTGTAAAGTGGCCAGAAACAGGCTGTAAAAAACTTTCCTTTATAGTCTTTGTAATCTACGTTCACAATATTCATATTATAATATTAAATTAAAGAAAATAATAATAAATAATTTTCTTTAAAATTGTCGAATTTATTACGTAATATTATTTGGTTTTGCATTACAAAACACGCTAAACGTGTTTTATTAAATTAAACTGTTTGGCATGAGAAACGAATCAGCAATCATAAATTTAAAAATATTGAGCATTGCGTTGATAGCTTTTGGAAAGGAATGCGTGGTGGTTTAGTGGAACCGTTTTCGATGCGGTTAACAAAGTGCGGAGTTGTTTGCGGCAGCCAATTTTCAATGACTGCATGGCGTCGCGCGGTTGGGAAGGAAGGGATACAGGGAGCGTAGGAAGGGAGGCAGTGCAAAATGCGCGAGGGACGAAAACAGAGATGCGGGATTCCGGGCTGAGAATGAAATGGAATTAAACGATTCATAACGCGTTTCCATGCTCGCACGCGTGCCGCTAACAGCTCGGTAGTTAGACCGCTATTCATTGGTTGATTCGCTCTGGCACCCGGCGTAACTTTTCTTCTAAATCGGGTCATGATTAAGCAACGCATGCGCCAGAAAACGGATGAAAAACGGATGAAAAATGACAAAAGAAAGATGAAACGCTATAGGTAGTGGCAATATCGCAAATAGTACTGTAGGACTTTATATAAAAATATGTGTATTGTAGGTTTGAAGTACAAAAGTTCGCGCGAGCGGACCCATCCAAAGTCCTGAAAAATTTAGATGATAATGAAGCTACGTTATTTAAAATTAATTCCAAATTTAATACTCAACTTTTATTATCAGCAAAACTTTAATAGAATTTAGACGCTGTTACTGTTTCATTGCAATCTTAAAAAGTTTTCAGGATATTCCATCTAGCTTCTGGTTACGTGGATCTAATGAGATCCTATCGAATAAAAAATTTACGAAGAAGAGTAACTGGTTTTGACGAAAGAATGGGACGACCCTCCGAAAGGATGTCGTCGAACCGACCACTTCATCCGCTTCGCAATGAAGTGATGTCCCGAAAACGCGTACGGACGATCGACGAAATTTTCCACATGAGACTCCCTTCGGCAACTGACCGCGTATCGAGTAAGAGAACACGTCTCGTCGAGACGAAAGGGTTTTCGGGTTCGTTGCTCAAATTCCGAAAATGCTCACGGTTCTGAGAGCAGAAGTATCGAACGGACGAGATCTCGCACGTTCGCTCGGAAACCCTGGAATCGCGTACTGACCTGGATTAGCCGATAGCCAACGGAGAGATCTTTGCGGAATTCGATGAAGGGGAGAAGATCCGATTCTACGCTCCTCGTACAAACACACGCGAAAAAGGGTTAAACGTTATCGTCGATCTTTCTGTCGCGTTGAACGCCAAACGGTGCCGAGTGCGCGCGGCGCGTTTCGTCGCGCTTTGGTAGTAAAATATGGTCCGGACGGGCGCGTCTTATTTTCACAGAGATCGGGGGCTCAGAATTTATTTCGAAGACCATGTGTCGCCGCAGCGTAAATATACATTTAATCGCGAGAACACACGAGAGCCGCGCCGCCCGAAAGATTCCCCTCCGGTCTGTGATATCCCACTTCCTATTGCTCGCGCTCATCTCTTTCCGCGCGCTGACCTCGACATCGACATCGACAGGGTTACATGGACCACGCGGGGTTACCACATGACGCGGTGGTCTCTTTGTGTACTATCTACAATGGTGTATAGCTCCCCGGTACTGCTCCTATACACGACGAACTTAATTTCCCCAATTTCGACCGCGCTTCGTCGACCGCACGATGCAATTTATACTGGCCGGCCCGCCCCCTCTCCTCCTATCCTGCCTTCCACACATACATACACCCTCGGTGGTCTCCCTTCGTCCCTGTAGCCCCCGCCGCGCCACGGTAATATCTCGAGAGGTCGTGCACGACGATTTAGAGGGGTCGCATATATCGTACGGCGGGCGGGTGCACCTGCGGCGAAGTCGTGCGCAAAGTAACGATGTTCCCCTGTAATTCGTCGCTACTGTTCTCGTAAATTCGGAACCAGCATCATAATGTCTTCGTTGGTCCATTTCGCGGTGCGAAAAATACCAGATAAACCTGGCAGCGATGATCTTTCGCTGATAAATGAGAGCGCTACAGAGAGAGTCCAGTATACGGAGGGATGTGAGTTTGCGATCCATTCGCTTACGATATATTCTTACAGTATCTTTATCTAAATTTTGTATTTTTCTTATTCCCGTCGGTTTTCAAATTTAAAGGTGTCACCTACCAAAGTTGTAAGGCGCTGAATGCTATGCAGAAATTTATCACTGTTAAAGAATTTATTTGCTTAAAAAGAAATATTTTGAAATATACCTTATTATTGCTGAGTTTATGCAATTTTTACGAAAAAATCGCTTGCTTTTCAAAGATTACCGATATTCCAGAGATATTTTAAAGACTTACGGACAGTTCCGACGATTGTTTCCGACAATCTTTATTGACAGAAATTCGCCGGATTCGTCGGTAAACAACGACGTTCGTTTGAGCGCGATTAGGGGTTTAGAGGTGAAGTAATATTCTTAACGAGGTAAAGTACATAATTACGCAATGGCGTGCTCGCAAAGTATACTTTTCCCCGAGGTAATTCGGCCGCGCGAGCATTACGTGCCGTCGTGTCGTCCGACGGCAGTTTAGCCGGTTTTATTAATGCTCGTCGCTACGAAATCGATTCCGACTAATGACGGAGCGACGATACACGTATGTAAACGCGAAAACATTGTGCGAATTACGCGAAACGTTATCGCGCATCGCGCCGAACGTAACGGCTTCAA